GCTGAACCAGGAAACCCTAGTGAGTTGTGGAGACTCCGTTTACTTAAAAAGCGAGTGTTTAAAAGCCAACGTTTTATTCCTTTATAAGCCATACCTAGGTAGTTTGGAGACCGTACAGTGACACAAGAAAACAATTACTGGCAGTTCTCACCATCTTGAGGGAACCATTGTTAACATTTTAGCGTGTGTCTCTCCAGATTTTGTTTTGGGTTATGTATAAATATACACATATAAATAGTTTTTAAAAAACAAAATGGGATCCTGTGTACATACTGCATTAGAATGTATCTTTTTTCCTTAGATTGTGGCAAGTATGTATTCACTTGTTTCTGATTTGAGTGCCCTAGCTGTGGTACTCCCCATCCCACTCCTGCCACACTTTTTGAGTTCTTGTGTGGAGAAAGGCTCAGGAGGGGTTTGTGGGGGTGGAGGGTCCATCTGTCTGGCTGACCTTGAGGGACTAGATTTCTGCTGCGAGGAGGGACTCTGTTTTCCTTTGTAACCCTTCTCCCCCAGAACACCTGTCAGGCCCAATCGAGCCATGAGCTGGGTAGGGTAGCTTCAGTGCGTAGCTGGGGAGGGACTGATTTTCTCTCTACCCTTCTCCCCTTGCTCCTCTAGAGCGGCAGCCCTCTTCCTGCCTCCAGCCCTGCCCGCCTCAGCCCCATGCCCCCGCCAGTCAGCCCCGGGCCACAGGCAGTGAACAGGCACGTGGGAGCCAAGGCCCTGTGACCAGGCCAAGGAGACGGGAGCTCCGGGGTCCCAGCCACCTGCCCCCCCATGGAGCTGAGGCCCTGGTTGCTATGGGTGGTAGCAGCAGCAGGGACCTTGGTCCTGCTGGAAGCTGATGCTCGTGGCCAGAAGGTCTTCACCAACACGTGGGCCGTGCACATCCCCGGAGGCCCAGAGGTGGCTGATAACGTGGCACAAAAACATGGCTTCCTCAACCTGGGCCAGGTAGGTGTTCTTACCTGGCCTGGTGACCAAGGCACAGGACACAAGGAAATTGCTGGGGTGGGGCCAGAGGGGGCAGGATTCTGGCACCAGAGAGCAGGTGCTTCGGGCTTTTCTTCCAGGGGCACTTAGGTGGCCAATGGGCTGTAAGTAAAGGCTTGTCCTGCCTGCGGGCTTGTAGCAGAGATTCTGAGGGGCAGCGTGTCCCAGGGAGAGCAAATGCCCCTCGGCCCCTGCAGGGTCCCAGACAGGGAGCGGGTGCCCCACCATGCCTGTGGTCGTAAGCCTCCCCCTGCTGCCGTTGTCCACCCCCGGCCCCCGCCTCCCGGGACTGACAGATGGGAAGCCCAGCTCAGTCTCCCTGCTCTGCTGCAGATCTTCGGCGACTATTACCACTTCTGGCATCGAGCAGTGACAAAGCGGTCTCTGTCGCCTCACCGCCCGCGGCACAGCCGGCTGAAGAGGGAGCCTCAAGTGAGTGGAGCCCAGTGCCACCTGCTGCCGCCCTCCCTTCCTGCTCTGAGGAGGCCCTCTTGCTTCCTCCCAGCCTCAGCCACACCCACGTGTCTTCCTCACCCACTCAGGTGCGGTGGCTGGAGCAGCAAGTGGTCAAGCGACGGACCAAACGAGACGTGTACCAGGAGCCCACGGACCCCAAGTTTCCCCAGCAGTGGTACCTGGTATGCTGCCTCCTCGGGGCCTACGTACGCCTCCCAGATGCACTCACCCCTCCGCCGTGAGGTCCTTTGGGTGCCTGAGGCTGACTGCAAGGCTGTCTCTGATGCTTTCTCCCTAGCCCATCCTGCTAAGCCTGGGGGTTGCCCGCCAGTAGTTTTTTTTTGGTTTGTTTGTTTAGTTTATTTCTTCCATGAGGGAGAGAGGCAGCACCTCCCACAGGGTCCAGATGCCACTGTCCACCCCCAGCCCTAGCAGCCCTGGATCACAGACACCCGTTGCCCCACATACTTAGGGAGGTCTCCAGTAGTGAACTCGGAACCTTCCCATGTGGGTCAGCCTTGCAGCGCATCACGTTTTACCACTGCGCCACGGTCTGGCCCTCCCAGAGCCCTTCATGTTTCCATGAAATTCAGACAATCCATGGTGTTTTAGGAGCAGGGCTGGGCAGAGAAGAAGGTTCTGGGGTGCCCCACTTACCCTAACACAGCCAGCCACATCTGGTAAGCGACGGGGGTGGTGTCTCCACAGTCGGGTGTCACTCAGCGGGACCTCAATGTGAAGGAAGCCTGGGCCCAGGGCTACACGGGTCGCGGCATCGTGGTCTCCATTCTGGACGACGGCATTGAGAAGAACCACCCAGATTTGGCAGGCAATTATGTGAGGAGCAGGGAGGGGGGCAGTGATCCCTGGGGAGGGGTGTCTAGGGCTGTCCTATTCGGCCAGCACGTCGGGCTGCTCCTGACAAAGGCCACATCCTTTCCAGGATCCTGGGGCCAGTTTTGATGTCAATGACCAGGACCCTGACCCCCAGCCCCGGTACACACAGATGAATGATAACAGGTAAGAAGCAGCCCAGCCTCCGCCTCCCGGGCCGGGCCCTCTCCCAAGGAAGCAGGGCTAAATTGGGACAAGACGTGCCTGCTTGAGGCTGAGCCTTCTTCATAGCCCTGGTCCAGCTGGGGCTCACAGGGAGGGTTCGGACCAGGCCCAGTGGGCTGTGGGTGTGGAAGGGGGCCATGCACACATGGAGGGTTGTCTTGGTAGAGGGCCACGTCTGCTGCACCTTGTCCACCCAACTAATGCTGCACTCTTGGCTCTGGCAGGCATGGTACACGGTGTGCGGGCGAAGTGGCTGCAGTAGCCAACAATGGTGTCTGTGGTGTAGGTGTGGCCTACAACGCCCGTATTGGAGGTGGGTGTGGGCCTTGGCCACTCTTGGGGGGGCCCTTCCATGTGGGATTTTCCCCTCCCACTTCCTATCTTCCATGCCTGCCTGCCACCTTCTCACTATGGAGCCTCTTTTGAGGGTTCTTAGCAGTGCAAAGAGCTAGACCCCCATGCTAGCCTCTCCATAGACAGGTGGGTGTTTCTTAGCAGGAGTTTCCCTAAATTTTCACAGTCTGCCCTGAGTTCCTATGTAGCAGGTCTTAACCACTGTGGTCCTTTCAGAACAAGAGTCTGAATGTGTTGGGGGCTGGGAGCAGGAGGTGTTCTCTTCTCGCCTCCCTGGGTCTTGTGTTTGAAAGGCACAGGCCGAGACGTCAGCACACAAGCAGAGGTCAGCAGGTGGTCAGCAGGTGGCATGGTAGTTAGGGCCCTGGACTCCCACATGGTCAACTGCAGTCCTGGACCTGGTGGTTCGTTATCTCCCTTTCCCTCTCAGTCTCTCTCTGTCTGTCTCTTTTTGGTGAGCACACATGCCCTATAGCAAATTAAGAATAACAATTAAAATTAAATAAGTACATATTAAAAAGAAAGGAAGGCACAGGCATACTGGCAGTTAGGGGCTCGTGATTTCCCAGCATGGTCCTCTGTCCCCTACCCATCCCTTGGTTACTAGCTGTACTCCTCGGGGTGCTTCTGGCAGCTGAACCCATGTAGAATCCCTCTTCCTGCCCCCCTTCGTGGCCAGGGGTGCGTATGCTGGATGGTGAGGTAACAGATGCAGTGGAAGCACGCTCGCTGGGCCTGAACCCCAACCACATCCACATCTACAGTGCCAGCTGGGGCCCCGAGGATGATGGCAAGACAGTGGATGGGCCAGCCCGCCTAGCCGAGGAGGCCTTCTTCAGGGGGGTCAGCCAGGTGAGCCCAGCACAGAAACAGGCCCTGCCTTGGGCCAGGTTGAGTGCTGTCTTTTCCATAACTCTTGTCCTTATGCTTTTCTATCTTGTTTCATTATTGTGTTTAATTTTAATGTTGTCAAAGTATTTGTAATAAAACACTGAGAGGGCGCTGGCAGGTGGTGTGATGATTAAAGGCACCAGACTCCTACATGGCTGACCACCATCCTAGTCCTGGACCTCGTGGCCTGCTTTCTCACTTTCCTTCCCTCTCTCTGTCTGATCAAACTGAAGAATAAAAATAATAATAAAGTTAAATAAAAAATAATTCAAAAAAAATTGAGGGACAGGAAGAGTCCAGTAAATAAAAATCACCCATAACCCCACCCATCCAACCCCTCAAAGCTCACAACTCTGATCATTTTGGTGGTTATCCTGCTCTGTGTTTTTTGCTAATTTTTTTGCATAAAAAGTATTTATTCGCATATATACCTGATCAGCAGGGATGTCCCTGGGAACCTGGGTGGGTGAGGAACCCCCAGAGACCTTCCCGGTCTCTAGCAGTGTCTTCCTGCCAGGTCTCCCCCAAGCTCTGATCTGGAGTGACCCCAGGCCACTCTGTCCACAGGGCCGAGGGGGGCTGGGCTCCATCTTTGTCTGGGCCTCGGGGAACGGGGGCCGGGAACATGACAGCTGCAACTGCGACGGCTACACCAACAGCATCTACACGCTGTCCATCAGCAGCGCCACGCAGTTCGGCAACGTGCCCTGGTACAGCGAGGCCTGCTCGTCCACACTGGCCACGACCTACAGCAGTGGCAACCAGAACGAGAAGCAGATCGTGAGTCTTGCCTGGGGTAGTGGGGGTGCTGACTAGTTCTGCCCAAGGACCCTTGTGGACCCTGGCTGCCTCTCACACATGTGTGACTGGGCAGTGGTAACTCAGGTCTCATGGAATGTGAGCTAGGGGACTGTGGACCATTTGTAAAGCCCTCGAGAAACATAGACTCTCCCTAAAAATGTGCACCAGAGCTGGCCCTGGGGCCTAGTAGGCTTCCACATGGCCAACCACAGTTCAAATCCCAGCCCCAGCAATTCGAAAAACATGCCAGGCTCACGCGTGCATGGACAAAATCCTGAAACGATGAAGAAATGGAGAAGAGATTGTGGTATCACCATACCTATTGCCTTCTCCCAAACCCCTGGTTGCGCATGCCCTCTGGCAATTAGAAAAAAAGAAAGTTGTTGCTTAAAAACAAACAAACAAACAAACAAAAACTACATTGTTCCTGATGACTTCTGGTCTCAAGTTAAACTCCTCTTTCTTGGAAAACTAGATCCTAGCCAGGGCCAGGCATTGGCCCATCCATGGCCAGGTGGTAAAGCGGTAGCTGGGACGAGCTGTCTTGGCCCTGACTCACTGTGCCATCTGTGGTGCCCAGGACCTGTAGGCAGAGGGAGGGCAGACAGGTGACCTCACTTGCCCCGCCCCGCCTTCACAGCCCCAACACCACTGTTCCCCTGGTAGGTGACGACAGACTTGCGGCAGAAGTGCACAGAGTCTCACACGGGCACCTCAGCCTCCGCCCCCTTGGCAGCCGGCATCATCGCACTCACCCTGGAGGCCAAGTAAGTGGGCAGGGGGTGACCCCGTTCCCCCCAGCACTCTGCAGGGCAGCCCTTTGTCTTTAGCTTCTCTCTGGAAATACTGAGCCCTGGTCTCTCCCTCCCCTGCAGTAAGAACCTCACCTGGCGGGACATGCAGCACCTGGTGGTACAGACGTCGAAGCCAGCCCACCTCAATGCCAACGACTGGGCCACCAATGGCGTGGGCCGGAAAGGTGCAGTCAGGGAGACCTAGAGGTTGGCCTTGGAGGCAGGTGGGGGCCTTGCGTGCCTCCAGCTCACTCACCTTCCCTGTCTCCACAGTGAGCCACTCCTATGGCTATGGGCTGTTGGACGCAGGTGCCATGGTCGCCCTGGCGCAGAACTGGACGACGGTGGCACCACAGCGGAAGTGCATCATCGACATCCTCACTGAGCCCAAGTGAGGGCTGGACCTGGGCTGGGGGTGAGGGGTGGCAAATGGGGCCTGAAAGTTGCAGGGTGCCTGCAGGTCCCTATGGGCCAGGCTGACAGACCGTCACGCTGCTGTCTGCACAGGGACATCGGGAAGCGGCTAGAAGTGCGGAAGAGGGTGACCCGATGCATGTGCGAGCCGACCGCATGCCTGGGCGAGCCCAACCACATCACCCGGCTGGAGCACGCGCAGGCGCGCCTCACCCTGTCCTATAATCGCCGTGGTGACCTGGCCATCCACCTAGTCAGCCCCATGGGCACCCGCTCCACCCTGCTGGCTGCCAGGTGCTTGCCCTCGCCCTGTTCCACCTCCTGCCCTCACCTCCCCAGCTCCTCTCCCTCACTGCCATGTGCTCCCCATGTGCCACTCACACCCCCGTGCCCATCATCAAATGCTGTGGGCACCTGTGACATGCTGGGAAGGATAGCTTTGTCCCGTGGGACTGCCCCATATTGCAGGAACCCTGGCTTCTGTCCTCTTACTGCCAACCCTTGTGTAGTACCCTTGCACCATTCTAGAATTCCCTGGTTGAGAACACTCGGCCTCGGGAACAACCAGGCCAGCAGGCACTCCCCGCCCAGCAGGGTTGGGACTGCAGGAGAAGCATCTGTGGTCCATATGTTGTAGGTCAGATGTCCCCTGGCCTAGGGTACCCCGAGGTCTGAGACGATGATGTGCAATCCCCTCCCCAGGCCACACGACTACTCCGCAGATGGCTTTAATGACTGGGCCTTCATGACAACCCATTCCTGGGACGAGGACCCCTCTGGCGAGTGGGTCCTGGAGATTGAAAACACCAGCGAAGCCAACAACTATGGTATTGGGAGTGCTCAAGGGTGGGTGGGCAAGGAAAGCTGACAGGGTCCGTGAGGCTGGAGGTGGTACCCGTGCCCTCTAATCCTGCCTCCTCTCCACTTGGGAACAGGGACGCTGACCAAATTCACCCTTGTGCTCTATGGCACGGCCCCTGAGGGGCTGCCCATGCCTCCTGAGAGCAGCGGCTGCAAGACCCTCACGTCCAGCCAGGCCTGTGTGGGTCAGTAATGGGTGCTGTCGGGGACTGGGGCTGAGGCTGTGGGGGGATGGAGGGTGCCTGTCCTGAAGCCCAGCTCTAGGAGGAAAAGCAGTCTCCAGGGACCCTGGGGTTCCTGGAGTCCTTGAGTTAAACACAGTTTGGGGGCTGAACGCTCACGTGGCCCTGGGGCCGTGGCTCACTCAGCTGACCCCAGCCACCTCTCTCATGCCGGCAGTGTGTGAGGAGGGCTTCTCGCTGCACCAGAAGAACTGCGTCCAGCACTGCCCAGCAGGCTTCACTCCCCAAGTCCTCGATACGCACTATAGCACCGAGAACGACGTCGAGACCATCCGGGCCAGTGTCTGTGCCCCCTGCCACACCTCGTGTGCCACATGCCAGGGGCCGGCCCCCACAGACTGCCTCAGCTGCCCCAGCCATGCCTCCCTGGACCCTGTGGAGCAGACATGCTCCCGGCAGAGCCAGAGCAGCCGCGAGTCCCCACTGCAGGCGCAGCCGCCGCCGCCCCGGCCACCCCCAGAGGTGGAGGTGGAGCCGCGGCTGCAGGCCGGGCTGCTGCCCTCGCACCTGCCTGAGGTGGTGGCTGGCCTCAGCTGTGCCTTCATCGTGCTGGTATTCGTCACTGTCTTCCTGGTCCTGCAGCTGCGCTCTGGCTTCAGCTTCCGGGGAGTGAAGGTGTACACGATGGACCGGGGCCTCATTTCCTACAAGGGGCTGCCCCCCGAAGCCTGGCAGGAGTGCCCATCTGACTCTGAAGAGGACGAGGGCCGGGGCGAGAGGACCGCCTTTATCAAAGACCAGAGCGCCCTCTGACGAGCCCACTGCCTGCCCCCTCGAGCCGATCCCCTCCTCGGGCACTTTTTAATTCACCAAAGTATTTTTTTATCTTGGGACTGGGTTTGGACCCCAGCTGGGAGGCAAGAGGGGCAGAAACTGTGTCCCACCCTATCCTTGAGTCCATCTGGCTGCCAGAGGTGGGGCCCCAGGACTAGCTGGGGCAGGGGAGGGCCTCTTGCACCCCAGCACCCACTCCACATGGAGAAAGGAGTGAACCCTTTAGGGCAGCTTTCCGAGGCCCAGGCCCCAGGCCCCAGCCAGTCTGCCTAGTGCC